ATCTATTACATGGCTGTGTTTCGATATATCGCTAGTACTAAAAATTTATAGTTACACATGTTACAGATTTTCAGTACTAGTAATAAATATCGGCTCTCTACGACTCACATTTGCCTAACAAAAAAGCAATAGCTAATATTATTACTCTATATTTGCGTTTTTATCTTTTTTTCGCACATTTACATATTTATTTGGACTCTAAATACATAATTATTGGTCTATGTTTCAGCAAATAAATCACTGCGTCGAGAACCGAAACGCAAAGAGACACGTGCGAAATCGAGAGGCAGATCAGCATCTCGAACTCGAAGTTCGCAACTGCTACAACGAGCAATGCAAGCGCGACAGCATCAGATTAAGGAAAACGAAAACGAAAATCAGCAATGTGACAAGAATCGCGGATCCACAGAGAACAATGTAGTGCGTCCAGAATTACATAAAGACATCGAGAGAATTCGCGAGCCAAATGACAGCAATAGTAGCAGCACTCTCGAGAACTCGAGAGATTGATCACATCCTTCTATTTTTACTGTCCTACTCTACATTTCTCAACATAATTTTCTGTTGCTTGTTGACAATTATTTGTCTACATCTATTTGTTTTGTATTTTTCTACATTGGAATGTAATCTTGTTTTAAAAGATTAATTTGTGTTTTAATAATATAAAACAAATTTAAAATAAATCTATATTTGAGGAAAGATTTTTATTTTAACAAAAATATTAAATAGGTACTTACAACGTAACTTTTACCTTACAACATTTTATTTTCAAATTGCGTAGAGCATAATCTAGCAAAATAATATTTTACTAAGAAATATTTATCGAAAACGTTTACTTTAAAAATTGATAAAAGACAAGTTTCAAATCAATCATTTAAACTTACGATCATTCCGATAAATAGAAATGCAATATCATGCACATCACAGAATTTTTAGGTTTCAATTGCGTATTTTTGTGCCTCTTTTTATGATTTGTTACTCAAAAATACATTGATATTATTTGAAGTTTCGCAAAAGATATAGATAACTGTCTTTGCAAACTTTTTAGCAAAACTTATTTGCAGTTGCATGTCTTCTCGGCGTATGATCAGCTGACGTTTTCGTTTTATCATTGGAAGACGATAAATATATGACGAGCAAATATTAAGAAATATTCGACAAAGCTAGAAGCTTTAACCGAAATGGGATATAATCGTGAATATCACTTATACAGGATTTTTCTCACCATACTTGATTAAAGCTTCGAAGCGGTGCATTTTTCAATGTGACTAAAGCTTTCTGATGTTTATCGATTTAGCCAATGGCGTTTTATCCCTGCTAACAAAGTTTTCCGAGGACAGTAGTCTACCTTCTATATTCATTCGAAAGCAACGTCTTTGTACGAGACGCTGCTTAAGGTTACTCGGAATTTTATCCCGCAAAGTTTTCTACGAAGTATTACTTTACTAACACATTTGTTTTCCAATTGTACTTTAAGAAATAACAAGTCATTATTTGATCTGACGCACTTGTATAAAACGTAATATATGTATATGTGATGTGATCGCATATTAAAATTATCCTCCTTTCTAAAAATGGTATGGACATCAATACTCACATCTCTCGAAATTATGTATTGTTGTCGCTTTTCCGCGATGCCGATTGGTTCTTTCGCTGCGCTAACTTCGTGAGTAGCTGTCATTGTATTGGTCTTACAGAGCACAGAGGATCGTTTTGACAATTGTGTATCAAGAAGTTAAAAATATTATAATAGTATTATAATGGTATTATATTAATTTTGTTCTTGTGTTAG